AATTCTAATTTAACGGGAATAGCCTTGTGTCCAAGCCATGCACGCCCGCTCGTGGCGCTTGGAAGCGCCCCCCGCTGCCCACGCCTAGTCGTTGAGCTGACGGCTGCGCGCCACAAGGGTGCGACCACCCTCTTACACTTGGATGCCGAGGGGGCGGGGGTCTTATGGGGAGAGATTTCAGAGATGGGCGTGTCCTTGGTTTGAGGTTCTGTTTTGGGGATTCCTAGTTTGCCAAGTTGGTCTCGAAGGGGCGCCTTTGGATTGGAAGCCACAAGTAGAAAGGCGTGTCACTCATGGGGAGGCAAGTAGAATCCGCAGATCGACTTGGATTAACGCAGCTTCTTTGTTCTTCTTACACCACACACGTAGTTGTGCAGCCAACGTTCGCGGTAGCAACAGTTCCGTCCGTAAAAGCTCCCTCGGCGGCGGAGACAACTTCCTCAGCCAATGTTGGGAGGTTTGGATTGGGACATTCTTTGCGGTGTCAGAAAGGTTGTTTGGTTCAGTGTGTGGCCGTGGGATATTCCGGGAGTCACTTATCATAGATGTTGGACAACGCTTCGTTCCCCCGGCGTACCTCTTTTACATGAGTTTGGAACTCGCTGCGCGATTAGATTGGGTGCGCTCTCTCATCTTAGTCTGCGGGATTCTCGTATATTGGGCCGATATCCACTTCCCTATCCCTCTTTGTCGGGTCCTATCATGCATTCATGCCGGTATTTGTTCTGGCTGCATGCCATGGACCACTCGAATCGGATTGCTCCTTCTGGTGTATCATTGGCCAGCTTTCCCACGGAGGGAGGCAGACGATATGGACATCGACGAAGGTAGGAAGATTCGGCGCAGAGCAGATGAGGCCATGGAGGCCATGGGAGATTCTCAAGCAGGGGGGATTGCTGGCTCGCGGGCTAGGGCCGGAGATGATGGGACAGCGGCGACGTTTCGGGAACTCTTTGGGGAAGATGTCTCTAGCGAACAATTGCTTGCGGAGGAACAACAGGGGGGTAGACGATTATTGATGGGTCAATTACATTATTGTCCTGTTGAAGGCTGCCCGCGATGCCTCGGGGGGGGAGGACCAGGATGGAAAAGCGTGGATGCTGTCAGGGCTCATGTGGATCTTCACCTCGCTGGGGAGCTCCCGGGGAGGCCCACCCAACAATGGCTTCGCGATCGGAAGTTAGGTTGTTGTCGGGTTTGTGGCCTTTCGGCTAGTCTTCGCGTTCACGAAGGGGTGCATTCTCGATGTTGGCCCAAACTCATCAGCCCCCAGATGCCCGAGAACCATGCCATAGATGACCAGAGCGAACTTCCAACCCTCAAAGCAATTTTTACCGAACCAATTTATACTAAGGAACTCTATCCGCCATCGTTGATCCCGCTTGCGCGAGAGGAATATGGCAAATGTATCGCTGCGGTGTTGCGGACCAACCGGTGGGACGCTTGGGAAACGAATTCTGCTGACTCCGAGGCCAAACAGGCTTGCCGCAGGGCATGGACGGAACTCCTCATGTTTCCGAAAACTATCTGTAGACAATTTGGTAAGGGTCAGAAACCGCGGCAATCCCTCAATTTTTCACGGGCCCTACTCCTTAGATGGAAATTGGGTGAGCGTGCTACACTTTGGAAAGATGCCCTTCAAGCCCAGAAGTGCCCCCGAGCCCCTAAGGAAGCTGCTTCTCCAGCCATAGGCGAACTGCATCGTAATGTCGAACGTCTCGTGATGACTGGTCGAGCCGGTCAGGCCCTTCAACGCTTGCTTTCGCCGGGGCTCGCGCATGACACTCCTGCTGTGCAAGCCAAGCTGGCGGCTAAATTCCCCGCCCCAAGCATACCTCCTAGGAGCCCCGCTCTTGTTCCCGGAAATACGCCCGAAATACCTGCTCCGCTCCTCCTCAAGGCTCTTCAGTCCTTCCAGGTTGGTAAAGGCCCAGGTCCAGATGGACTGCGCGCGGATTTCTTACGGCTTCTGTGTGGCGAGACAGGGGATGTAGATTCTTTCGTGGAGTTAGTCCGGGATTTCGTTCAACTCCTTGCGGAAGGACACGCGCCAATCGCGCTCCGTGCTTGGATTGGGGGGGGGGACCCTGGTGGGCATAGGCAAAAGAGACGCTCATGGGCGAGCCGTCCCGCTCGACCAGGACGCTCGTCTTATCGTCATGGGGACAGTTTGGCGTAAATTGGTATTCAAGACAACTTTCCTTCTCGACAAAGAAAGTATCCAGAGTCGTCTTGCTCCCCAACAAGTTGCAGTAGGAATCCGTTCGGGGGCCGAGGCAATGATCCACGCCGCTCGCGCATGGATTCGTGCTAACAACCACAAAACCGACTATGTTCTTCTGCAAAGAGACATCTCTAATGCTTACAATTCTGTCCACACTCACATGTTCTTGGACGAATGTTATCAGTACGCCACGGCCTCTAGTAAGTTCGCCGAATTCTGCTATGGGGCCCCTAATCACCTCGTGTACCATGGTCGATTGATGCAATCCGCTCGCGGACAGCAAGGCTGCCCCCTTATGGGGTCTCTTTTCTGCTTGGCCAGGAAACGAATGTATGAAGAAGCCTACGGTAATGCTGGGGGAAGCCATGCTTGTTTCGACCCTGAGTTCGCGGACGATGGTTTTTGTGGGGGGCCTGTCGCTTCAGTATGGGCGATTTTCGAGCAGGAAATTGCGCTCGCCGAGAAGTACGGACTTCACTTTGACATGGGCAAAACTACTCTTTATCTCCTCTCAGGGGAAGCTTTCCATGCTGACCTTCGACCCTTTCAGGCTCTCGGAATTCGAATCGTGAAGGGAATCGACATTCAGATGCTTCAGGTTCCCATCAGCGGTCGGGAAGACTTTTACGCAGAATGGAACCGCCTCAAAATCGCTGCGATCGACGAGGCTGTGACGGCTATAGAACAGTTGCCCCACAAACACGTGGCCTTGCACTTATTGCAGAAATGCATGAGTTTCCCGAAGTTGTCTTATTGTAGTCGTACGATCAGTCGTTCCCATCTTCAACCATTGCTCGAGGCCCATAGTGAACGCATACGTGTTGCTCTTCAATACCTTCTAGGCAGACAGTTGACCGACAGACAATGGATCCAAGCGACGCTTCCGACGAAGGCCGGGGGACTAGGTCTGACGATCGACCGGATAGCTGTTCAGGGCGGTTTCATTTCTCGAGCCGACATTGCCATGGTTTGTTCATGCCGGTCCACCAAAGAACAAGTTCGAGGAATGTTGGGCATTGCTGGAGATATGGGAATCGATCCCATCGAGGAGTCAGCTACTCGATCCTTGAGACAACTTCTCCCGACTTCCATCTTAGGAGATGGCCCCAATGTTCTCAAGCAGCGAGATCTCAACCAAGCTGCTATTGAGAAGTCAGGCGCTTACCTCCTCCAAGCCCTTCCTGCAGGAGAAGTAGCTAGATTCCAGGCTTGCAGGGCACCTTGGGCCGACGGTTGGTTGAACGTCGTCCCGAGTTCTTGTTTCGACACCCTTCTGTCCAATGTTGCAGTCGTTGATTCTATTTCTTTGCGACTTGGTCTCGAGGTTCTCGAAAAAGCGAACATGTGTCCCTTTTGCCCCCAAGCCCTCGATCTTCTCGGTCACCATTGAACGACTTGCATGGCAGGAGGTATGAGAACTCGAATGCACTATACTCTTCGAGATACGATCTTCCGCGCGGCCCACCAGGCCGGAATGCGACCCAAACTCGAACCCGGAAGTTTGCTTCCTCACGATCTCGAACGTCGACCGGCGGACATTCTCCTCATGAGTACCCCTCTTCTTCGTCAAAACCAATGGCGTCGGTATTCACAGCTCGCTCTTGACTTTGCCTTGGTCTCCCCCTTCTCGCTCTCTTCAATCGGGAGGGGCGTCGCGGAAATAGGGGCAGTCGCGCGTTTTTACGCAGAGAAGAAACGTCAAGATCGGGGCACCCAGGAAGCGTGCCAAGCACAACAGATAGGCTTTGAACCCATCGTTTTCGAAACTATGGGAGGATGCGAGTTCGGAGCCCATCAACTTTTGAACAGCGTCTGTCAAGAATGCGACAAAGTCTTGAGTAGATCTGATGGGTCAACGAAATCTTTCTTGAAAGGACGGATCTCGATCGATATCCAATGTGGCTTATCCCATATTCTTGAACGTTGCCGGACCGCCCAACTCGCAGAGGGCGACACGGAGGGGCACATTAGGAGATTCATTCACGAGTGTAGTGGGTAAGTCATCTCGAATATCTGGAGCCAGGCTATCTCTCCTTTTGAGGTGATCCAAACGCGGGTGTTTGCTGCCGTCAGTGGCGCGCTGCCGCCCATCGTGATGGTTTGTTTAATCCCCATTTGTACAGGTCTTCTCGACGAGAAGTGTGGATGCCGAGGATTTCTCCGTTGTTTTCTTGCGATCGCAGGACCTGGGGCTTAATTCGGGGTGGTGGCGGGCTTTTCAATTGGCTGCAGGTCTTATGATCGCGTGCTCTTGGTTCCTTTTGCTTTCTTCTGGCATCCGGTAGTCTCTTTGTATTATAAATGGAGCGTAAGTCTCCTCTCTCTTTTTCGATATTAGATCGAATCTCGAACTTGGACTAATTGGAGCTTGTGGGAGTAGAAGTCTAGAGAGCAGAAGTCTCTCGCACTATCTTTCGTCGTCTCTCCTCAATGAAGATTTCGTAGTGAATTGGTGCGTTTGGGAGCACAAGTCTCTTGCACCGATTAGATGGCAAAGGGAAGATTGATACATCCCAAAATATTACGATTTAGTAATCTTGACATCTAATCGTCATTCGCCATAAAATCAAATCGACAATTCGAGAATATCTCGAATGAATTCCCGCCACGATATTACAATCATTCCTTATCGCATATTCCTGAAGGAATGGCCAATAATCCCTTGGGCCACATCCGTAGACGCCTGGGCAGCACGGTATAGGGGTGTTTCTAATTTCCAAGTGTTGGGGGCGTATCTCTATCGATAGGTATATTTCGAATATAATTATGTTTCATGATATAGGATTTTGATAATTTGGCGTCTCATTTTATAGATAATGAGAATGATATATATATATATATCTTTGAAAGATATTCGATATTTATAAATTATAATTAATCTTCATCCTCCAGAATTTTTCCTATTTTTCATGCAAATCAAATCAAATCGACAAGAAAAGACATACAAGAATGAGATATAAGAAAATCTCATAATAAATATTCATTTATAAATAATAAATTCAACCATCTTTCAACTAATAGATTTCATTTTTCATGAAAAATATTCGATTCTTTAAATTTTTAGATATCTTCCTTACATCTCATTAGTCGTCGAGAATAAGAGATGATATCAAATATTCAATATATATCGTCGGTCGTTCCTCGAGCGCTCTTTATTCATTTATATATTATCTATATTGCAAAATAATATTCAAATATCTTAGAAATTATATACGATCCATTTTCTTAAGCATAACAAATATAATATCTTAAATGAAAAGATTAAAATCCGAAATAGAAATTTGGCTCAAGACGATCTCTTGTATTCAAGGCTCTGGAAATTCCGGGGCCGGGGTTGGATTGGAGGGGGGTGCGCCGATGGATGATGGATGCGTTTCCTCCCCCCACGCTCAGGGTGGGAGTTGGCGTGGTTTCTTTGGAATTGGGTTTGGTTGGTGTTCTGTGGGTTGGATTTTGTTATTGGTCAGCTTCAGGAGGATAATCAGGATGCGCGACGGGTGCATCAGAGAAGTGAACAGGCTAGACGTTTGGTTTCCAGTAAACGTTGCCTGTATTTGACTATCCTGTTGGTATTAGGTTTGGGGGTTATGGCTCGAGGTTGGGAGGATTGATCGATCCGTGGTATTGGCGGAATGGGAAGAATCTTCCAGGTTTTCAATAAGATGTTGTGCCAGAATATCTCATTTGTGGATGTCATCTCTTCTACCTTCATCATCTTCGATCGTGCGCGACCACCGCGTGGCGAGGGGCCCGGGCTTCGTCAACCTTTGCCACACGTGTCGTAGAGATATGTTTCTTCGGGTTGTTCTTGGAGAAGCTCCTTCCCGCCGGGATGTTGGTACAATTGGTCTATTTTGGGGTTTTGGGTTTCTGGATTGGATTTCGATGAAATTGGATTCGAATGGTTCTATTTTGTATCGGGGTTGTAAGTTGGATGGTTGATATTCATTTGCCTCGACGTTTTTGTAGATGTTTCTCAGCTGATATGGGATATTGGATGACGATTGGCATGGCCTTTCTTCCGAGAGTCTGCGTCTTGTATGAGTGCCCAGTTTTCCCTGTTGATCTTCGATTTCAATCTCTCAATCCCCTTCCTGCCCGGATGGAGATAGATGATCTCGCAGCTGCCCAGCCGGCATCGGTGGCAGACGTGATGCTTGCTGACTTGTTCGGGGGGGAGGTTAGCGAGGTTGAGGGTCATGGGCTGAATCTCAGTAAGCAAGATATTGGGCATGATTTCTTTTGTCCGGTTGTGGGATGCTCGCGTAGTCGCAATCGTGGCCCAGCATGGGGATCTAAAGAGGCCCTACGGGCTCACTTAGATCTTCATCTTCAGGGAGAACTCCAGGGACGACCGGAGGATCGTTTCTTGGACGAGATGGGGTTGCGTTGTTGCCACGTTTGCGGACGAACTATTAGTGTTCGGCATATTTCGGGGGTGCATCCGGCTTGTTGGCCGAAGATTCGTGATCGTGGAGATTTTTGAGTTTCGTTCCCATTGAAATAACAAGTCCTTCCTTCACTTCAAGATATCTTCACCGCCCCTATATTCACGAAAGACCAGGTTCCCGTAGAACTTTGACCAACGCTTCGGGAGGAATATGGCAAACTTCTTGTTGCAGTGAATTATTGTTCTAGGCCCGACGCTTGGGATCCGCTACCATTGGCCGATGGGGGGTTGGCTAGTGGTAGTGATTGTCTTGAGAAGCAGAGGGCTAGGCAGGCGTGGCATGAACTCCTCATGTTTCCGAAAGTGGTGTTACGCCAAAATAGAAGGGGTCAACGTAGAAGGCAGGCTTTGATATTCACGAAATCCTTATTGATCAGATGGAAATTTGGGGAAAGACAAAGACTTTAGGATGAAGTAATGATGGCCACCGCGCGCTCACGGCGGCAGCAAAGGGGGGAAACAATCTCTAAAGAAGTAGTGCATGTGGATATTCGCCGCTTCGTATCGTTGAGACGGGCGGGGTGTGCTCTTCAACGGCTTGTCTCTCTTGGATTGGCGGCTGCCACTGCCCAGGTGAAATCGAAGCTGATGAATAAATTTCCCACTAATCCTTCGGGAACTTTGGTGCGCTCCGCGCTCCCGCCGACCCTAGAGATTGAACTTTCCGTTCTCTTGGAAGCTCTGCATTCATTTCCTGTGGGGGCAGGGCCGGGACCTGATGATTTGCGCGCGGATTTCTTGAAGGGACTTGTCGGCCATTCTCTGGAATCTCCTTTGCTTCCTCTTCTCCAGGCCTTTATTCAGGAGATGGCTGACGCTAATGTGTCGCTTACTTTGCAGCCCTGGTTGGCGGGGGGAACTCTCATAGGCGTTGGTAAGATCGGAAAGGATGGAATTCCTATTGATTTGGCCCAAGATGCCAGACCTATTGCGATGGGACAAATCTTCCGTAAATTGGTCTTCAAGTATTCCTTTCGTATGGATTCATCCCAAATTAGTGCCAGGTTGCTTCCTCATCAATTTGTTATTGGTATTTCGGGTGGGACCGAGATTCTGGTGCATTCAGCTCGGGAATGGATAGGACATAATAGGACCAATCCTAGAATGGTCCTTTTATAGAAGGATATTAAGAACGCGTTCAATGAAGTCCTCCCTGATATCTTTCTCGAGGAATGTCGAAAGCATGCTCCCTCGTCTTCGCGATTTGCTGATTGGTGCTATGGGTCTCCTAGTCATTTGATTTATGACGATTGTATAGCTTTCAATTGTAGAGGTCAACAGGATTACCCTATGATGATATCTCTCTTCTGTTTGGTAAGGAGACGCCTTGTTGAGGAGGCTCAACAGAATATAGGAATCCACTTGCCCTTTGCTCCGGAGTATGCAGATGATGGGTTCTCGGGGGGGCGTGTCGAGGATACTTGGAAATTATTTCAGGAAGAACTCCGGCTCGCGGACAAATATGGTCTGAGATATGATCTTGGGCAGTGTCGTCTTTATCTCTTGGCTGGGGATGGTTTCCGTGGGGGTGTCAGTCCTTTCCAGGGTCTTGGAGTCCACGTTGATGCTACTTATGATATCCAGATGTTGAAGATCCCGATTTCTAGGAGTCCTGAGTTCCTGAAAAATTGGTGTCTTGATAAATAGCGAGATTTCGAACGTTTCTTTCGGGAGCTCCCAATTTTGGAGAACAAGCATGTGGCTTTCCATCTGCTGCAAACTTGTATGGGGTGACCACAATTGAATTATCTAGGAAGGAACGTTCCACGATATTTCTTGACTAGCCTTCTGGAATGGTACGATCGACGGTGCCACGAAACTTTCGAGGACCTTCTTGGAGAAAGGCTTTCGGATGGTATGTGGTGGCAGGCTTCTCTTCCTGTGAAAGCTGAGGGGCTTGGTCTCTCCACTGAGGGCATTTCCTTGAAGGATCAAGTCCTTGGAAGAGCTGATATTATCTTTGTTGTTGCGTATAAAGCATCCCGCAGAATTGTTGATGAATTGGTCCCGTCTATTCCGGAGCATTCAAAGATTGGGTGGTCGCCGGCAATCCAGCGCTTGGAGACTCTTTTTCCCCAATGGAGAGATGATATACGCGACCCCGATTCTAGGCTCAAATAGAAGGAAATGTTTGCCGTTGCTATTGGATCATCTCGAACGATGTTGGAGGGCGCCCTTTCTGATGCTCATCATAGGGTTTTGCTTGCATTCTCGGCACCTTGGGCCGAGGGGTGGGTTCGAGTTAGTCCTAATCACGCCTTTGATATTTGCTTGTCTAATGCTGCATTCATCGATATTGTTTCCATGCGGCTTGGGAAAGCGGTTTTTCAGATTGAGATGGATTGTCCACGTTATTCGTAGAGTCAGGATGAATTTGGATATCATTTTTCAATGTGTCATATGGTAGGGGCAAAATTCAATTCCATAATATGATTCGAGATGAGATCTATCGTATTCTCTATATTGGCGGTCTCCGATCTAAATTGGAACCTGTAGATCTTTTACCAGATTTGCCAGGGCAACGGCCCGCAGATGTAATGACTCTTCCTACTGCTTCGTGTAGACAATCGACGTGGGGACTATTGCCGCGCTTGGCCTTGGATATCTCTGTTGTTTCCTTTTTCAAACCACAAGCCAGTGGGTTCGAAACGGCTGAAAGAAAACGAAGAAATCGTCAGACGGCCATGAGATGTCCGGAACAAAGATTGGGATTTGAGCCTCTTATATTTGAAATTACTGGTGGTCTTAATCCGGAGGGAGATCGTATCTTATCATCTTTGTGTCGAGTAGTGGATGTTCATCGTCAGAAGCCGCATGGCGTAATATGCCAAATCTTGAAAGAACATCTTTCATTCATATTCCAGAGACTTGCCCACGTTTGTTTGCGGCGGGTCCGGGATGGAGACGATAATCAAGAAAAAGTGTGGCGGCAATGTTGATTGCGTTTGCAGGCCCCTCGCGCAGATATTGAGATGATCGTAGTCTTTTTGACATCAAAGAATATCTGTTTTGTCGTGTTCTTCTCTTCGTTGATTGAATTTCTGGGTCTCATTTGGGTCTTTTTTTCTCCATTTTCTGATGCGATTCTGTGTCCTTGGGTTTAATTGGGGGTGGCGGTGGGCCTTTAATGCATTGCCTGGGGGCTTAGAGTCGCGAGATGTTTGCCATGATACTTGACGACCTGATTGCCTGCACTTGTATTCTAAGAATCTAAGAAGGCTCTAAATTAGTGTTTTTGGGCGCAGAAGTCGCTTGTGATCATTCAAGAAAATGAAAGATAAAATAAACTAGAGGGGACCCGTCGATTCCATCGACGGCATATCCGCCTACTAAGTAGAAATAGATATACGTTAAAACTCTGAAAAAAGTGCGGACAAATAAAATATCCAAGTATTTTCGGGATCTCTATATAGATATTTGAGAGTCTGATGTGTGAGCGTGGTGGGTAAGAATTTATTTAGCAAGAACTTGAATGAATGATTTAATGCGAAGGTAGGATTTAAGGATTACGATTTAAGATTTATGTCCTATGATTTGCCATCATAGTTCGAATAGAAATAAGCTCCCAAGATAATATCCTCAATGAGCCTTAAAACTTACAAATTGCCTTATCACGACCCCTCCTTTCAAGCTGATCCATGAAGGGCGCAAGAGGCCTTTGCTCCCCAAAGCGCCTATTAAGAAAGATGACATAATGATAAGAGAATACGACGATTTCTATATCCAAATACCCGGAATCGGAAATGAGACCAACCTACCAACCAAAAGTTTCGTACTCTCCAGGATACATCTTTTTTTTAAAGTCCACCTCCATCCCCCAATTAGAGAAATGTCCCAGAAAGACGAAAAATAAAAGAAGATAACGAAGATTCTAAAAAAATTCCTCGATCCCAGATCCGAAATCCTTAATCCCAAATGCCTCGATATCTCATATAATATCATTAAAACCATAATTTCTCAAAATATTAGGAATTCGTCCTTTCATTTAGATGGTATTCTAAATTCTTGTGCCAAATTAAAGTCCAAAGTTCGTAGGATTCCCTATGGCTCGCCCTTGCGCCACCTTATGCCATGCTAGCGAATAACCATAATAGAACATAATATCGATAAAATTCCCTAATCGATACATTTACAATAGGCTACTCTAAAATTTGAAATTTACCTAATATTAGAATTTAAGATTCTTAATCCTCGCATTCGCCCTTAGACCCCCTCTCCCCTTACGCCATGTTAGACTTTAGCGCCATGCTAATATGAAAATAAGATGTATGAGGCGGATCCAAATAATCACGAAAAGAAAAAATTTAGAATAAAAGATAATATATCTAAAGATTTTATGAGGTTATCGAAATAAATAATTGAAATATTATCATCGCAATACCAATCCGATTCCAAGCCCCCAAATAACCCCTCAAAATACAAAAGTGCTCAATCCTCAACAGCCCCATCACAATCCCTCTCTTCAATAGTTCCTCCCTTCATCAATCCCCCCTTCAATAACCCCTTCCTTTAACAACCCCTCCCCAGCCCCTCAACAAGCCCTCCTCAACTCAAGCCCTCAACAAGTCTAGTCCCTCAAATCCCAACCCCTCAGCACCCCAAAACCATCCACCCCCCACACAAAAAACAAAACCCCCCAAAACCCCAACCTTTCAGCCCCAACCCCTCAACCACAACCCCTCAGGCCCAGCCCCTCAACACCCCAAAATCATCCATCCCCCCCCACGTCCGACAAAACCCAAACCATTACAACAAAAAACAAAACCCCCCAAAACCCCAACCTTTCAGCCCTTCCACCCCCCGCCACGCCCGACAAAATCCAAACCATTACAACAAACCCCCCAAAACCCCAACCTTTCAACCCCAACCCCTCAACCGCAGCCCCTCAAACCCAAACCCCTCAGCCCCCCAAAACAACCCACCCCCGCCGCACCCGACAAAACCATCCCCCACCACGACCGACAAAACCCAAACCATTACAACAACAAACAAAACCCCCCAAGACCCCAACCTTTCAGCCCCAACCCCTCAACCGCAGCCCCTCAACCCCAACCCCTCAACACCCCAAAACCATCCACCCCCCACCACGCCCGACAAAATCCAAACCATTACAACAAACCCCCCAAAACCCCAGCCTTTCAACCCCAGCCCCTCAACCGCAGACCCTCAAACCCAGCCCCTCAGCCCCCCAAAACCACCCACCCCCCACCACACCCCACAAAACCCAAACCATTACAACAAAAAACAAAACCCCCCAAAACCCCAGCCTTTCAGCCCCAACCCCTCAACCGCAACCCCTCAGCCCCAGCCCCTCAGCACCCCCAAAACCATCCATCCCCCACCACGCCCGACAAAACCCAAACCATTACAACAAAAAACAAAAACCCCCACAACTCGACAAAACGCCGGACACAAACCCTATACCATTTCTATTAAACCCCAAAACCTTAACCGAAAAATCCCCGGGTCCCGAAAATTCCCGGAATTTTCAAAGGGCACCCATGTCATCATTGTTGTGTTGGAACCTTAAAATCCAACCCGGAAAGCCCAAACCTCAATCCGGACAATTCCTAAAATTCCCGGAACTTTCAGCTCCGGGTAATTCCCAAAATTCCCAGGATTTTTAGACAAAAAGGGTTAAAATTCCCGGAATTTTCAGGATTCCCCTGCAAGGCCCTCACAAGCAGCCAAATGGACCGGAAGAGGAGGCGGGGCATCCGACAGGGCGGCCGCAGAGCGAAAATAGGGGTCGAGCCCGTAGCCTTTTATGGGGATATACGAAGATTGAGATCCAAAAAGAGAGATAAGCTAAAGAGAAATAATAATAGAGTTCCATAGAGGCAAATAAGAACGGATAAATATAAAAACAGATAACGACAAAAATAACGACATAGACAGAAAAATAGCCAAACAAACATGAATCCGAGGATTTAAATATTCAAGGAAAGTCTTCAAATTCCTGCGTTTTTTGAGAATGCCCGGTATAGCCCCCAAGCAAAACCAAGAGACCCGCCAAAGGCCATCCAACAGGACTGCCGTAGCGGCAAAACGCAAACCTTCTATGGAGACATTAGGAGTTCTACCCTTCGGGGTTGAAGATGATCCTACAGCATTTGGCAGGCCTTATTCAAAAGCCTTGCATTGAGAGCAGGATACTGCAAGCATACCTGCAGAGGAGGACGGAGTTTTTCAACCATTGCTTATGGTGAGAACGTCCAGCAGCGTGGGCAGGAGGGTGCTGAGGAAGTATGGCGCTTCTGGCACACATGTTGCAAGGAATGGTCATCAACTGCGCTGAATGCTAAAGAGGCACTCTCCACAAACATGCAAGGCCGACTCAGGGCTGCCGCGCTGGACCATGCCTGCTTGTTTCGTCCTCCGCTGTTTCAGGGTCTTATTGTCCACACTTGGGGGCACAGGAGTTAAGCCAAAGATGCCATGAACCCCAGATCATGGAATAAAAAATCTGTCCCCGCTTGCACTGCCCCTGCTGGGAGGGGTCCGGGAGCGCACTTTGCCGCCACAAACTCGGAGAGAGCTCTTCCGTCCACAAGAACGGACTCCCAGCCCTCCTCGGAAAGCTCGGAACGAACAAAAATCGAAAGGTTCCGAGTTATACCTCGCAGAAACATTGAATCTAATTCTGCTTACTCGGACTCTAGGGCTGCAGCTTCCTCGGCATCACTTCCTGCACTTGCAGGCACCCCCAACCAAAAGCTTCCAAATATTTTACTGGCGTCCTGACAACCTAACTTGGCAACGGTGGCACGCGCCTCGTTTGAGCATGGTGCTGAGTGTCACCGCGCCTGGCAGATGAATCGAAAGCTGAATCAATGCACACTCCCAGCCAGGCCACCTTGCGCTGTGGCTCTCACGTGATGAACTCTCTAAGTATCACACACTGCCGGGGAGGAGCCGTCAAAGTAAAGCGAAGCTGCCAGCGCTGAGGCACCTGCACCTGAGCTTGTTGTAGGAACACGCCATGCCACGAAACACACACAAACTGTCCAGGCACTACCGACTATGGCAAAGCTTCTGGCCATACTGCGTAGACTGAAGCACTCGACCTTGGAAATGCTAAACAAACGTGGCTTGAGGGAGTGTCGACAGGGCGCAACCAAGACAAAGCATAGCCCGGCGTCCATGTCGATACTGTAGGGTTCGGGACCACGGCAGGTCAATCCGCCGAGGCAGGCAGACTGGAAGGGCCGACTCGCGCACTGGACGGACCATATTCGCGCACTGAATCGCGGATGCGCACACCGCGGATTTGCGCACGGGTGCATCGTGCACACTGCGCACAGAACTCGCGCACTGAGACGCAGATTCGCGCACCGGCGGATCGCGCACTGAGATGGCAGATTCGCACACAGAGGATTTGCGAACTGAGACTGCGGATTCGCGCACGAATGGGTTCGAGCACTGACAGACATGGGCCGACAGTATTCATGGTTGTGGTTGGACACTTTTTGGAATTTAGAGCTTTCAGGTTTCAAGGGCATTTAGGCTTTAGGGGGAGTTTCAGGGCTGAGGGTTTTAAGGCTTCAGGGTTTCCGATTTGGGGGTGTTGTGCCGTGCAAACCCCCTAAACCGTAAAGCCTAAACCTACAAGCCCTTGGAACAAGTGTTCAAAGCCTCAAAAACTCTTGACCATGAAAACCCTTCGCCCTCAAAGCCCTGATTTGTGTGCAATGGCTCCTGAAGCCGAAAGCCTTAAAACCCCTGAAGCCCAAGAATCTGAACAGCTGTAAACCTAAAGACAACCTCAACCCCTAAAAACACCCGAGCCACAAGCATCCTCAGCCCTGAAAACCCTAACCGTTAAAGTCGACAGTATAACTGGGGGTGGTATGGGGGCCCAAACTCGGAATTCGTTGGAGTGGTGGGCGGGACCAATGCTTGAATCGGGAATTGCACTTCAGCAGTGCTAAAAAAACCGGGGCGTGCTCGAATCAGGATTCGTGCCAAAGACCCGCCTGTTGGGCCCAGCATAGTGGTTAAACTAGCAGGGGGTGTCTGGGATTGTCTGGGCATCCGACCACAGGCTGCCAAGAGCTGTGAACAATGCCTCCCCAACACACATACACGCAATCGCCACAAGAAAACCGCCCACTTGCAGGCCCAGCACTCAAGTCTCAACTGGCTGCGCAGTCAGCTTCGGCCAAGACGCAACTCAAGTTAGATAGCAGGCAGCCTTTCCTGCCTGCTGCATGGACACCATCGCGGGAAAGCGTTGCCTCAAGATTCAACCCCTCCTAGGCTGGGCTTCCTGGTTTTCCTGTACAGCACGACCTGTCACGAGGCCCCCGCACGCCGCAGAGGTGGGAGAAGCCGTGAGGTCTCCCGCAGCATCCACCTCCGTGGCCTGGCACAAATTGCAAGCAGTCCCAATGCCACGAGAAGGTGCTGGGTAGATCCCGGGTTGATGTTGGGACTAATCTGGGACTGATCTGTCCAGACATGGGCTGAAGCTTCTTGCCAGAGTCTTGTAACAGCCCTATAAGCGAGGTAGCGCACGCACAGAGAAGTTGAAGAACCCTCAGTGGCACATTCATGACACCACACACCACGATACACATCAACGCATTCTGTGCTTACAAAGCCTTAGCTCCAAGAAATGTTCTAGGCATCGTCCCCTGAGACCCCAGCGGGTACAGGCGAGATGCGCGCAGCATCTCCCAGTTGGGCTCCATCTTGGCACGGTGCTGAGATGGGGTTGGCTCTCGGGATGTTCACGGGATGCTCAGGTATCATGCTAAGGAGTCCACGCCGACATGTCCCTCAAGCTTCCTGCAAAGCGCAGCGCTGGCAAAGGGTGGTCACCTCCCTCGCTCAAATTTCCCCTGCAGCCCACTGTGTAAAGAACAGCCGTGCATCAGAACATGCAGCTGCCTTTTCATCAAAATTAAAGTAACTCTATGGTTCCTCCCCCCTCCCCCGCAACTCCGGTGTCACATACGTACGTGGCGCTCCACGATGCGCATGTCGTGGCGGGCACTTGGAGGAGGTGGGTTGTCGCAGGGTTGGGCTGTCACACACCCAAGAGCATACAATTTCACAGCAACAGCTCCCAGCGGGGGTCGGCTCCCACAAGGCGTAGTCTCTACTATCCTGCAGTGATTGTTTCGTTTTCAGCTTTCAGCGTAAGGGTTTATGATTTTGGCGCCTTCAAGCCCTGCGTCGCCAACAGGCGATTGGGGAGTCGCAGCCAGATGTGCAGTCGCGAAATGGCTCCAACCAGCTGTGCATTCATGAAAAGGCTCCAGCAGTTTCGACAACTCTTTGCACCAGTCCTGGCCGCCTCTGCCAGATACCTAGCAAAGAAGGCTTCGAACGCCCGCAGCTCCTGGATGGGAACTCGATGCAGCAAGCATGCAAGAACAGCGTCCGCTCTAGCCACGACAAGCTCCAAACAAGACAACACTCACCACTGTCCGATTCTGCACTCGACCTGGTCCACTCAGCTTAGACCCGGCCAGACTACCTTTGAACTCAATACCGAGCTTCTGAGAATCATCTTTCCCAGCAAAACCATCCCGCCATTTTCTTCTCATCGGCAAGTTGAGCATGGAACGTCCCTTTTCACTGACTAGTGGGATCTTGAAGAGCGCACCAAGAGTCCCGAGCCACGTCCTAGTTGGATACTTCAACAACTCACTTAACAGAAGCTGGCGAGATTGACAGAAACAAAGCCGTCTATAAGGTGAATCACATCCCTGTGTTGACTGGATTGGGCAATTCACGGGCACCCCTCCTAATTGACAAACGCTCGCCTCGGCAAGCGTCTGCTAGGCAACACTGAGTTTAAAGGCAGGTGCAAGCAAGCGAAGCTTGAGGTTCTGGTTTCCAGGCCTCGACCTGCTCCGTGCCTGGCAAGTTGAGGAATATGCGAAGCTCGTCCTAACTAGACCAGCAACCCATGCTACCAGCTGCCCCACGGCCTGCTTGTCGGTCTGAGCAGCATGAGAAGCGTAGTGACAAGCCCTCCGCGCAGGAACACATGGGGATGCGAAGTTCTGGTTAGCGATTTGGAAGGCAACAGGGCTGGACACAGGGTTGCGACTCCGGGCTCGGAGAGATGGTGCAAGGATGTGAAAGTTTGTGAACAGGATGCGAACAGGATGGTGAAAGGATGTGAAAAGGACCAAGGATGGAGCGATCTTCAATGCCTCGCTGAGGCGCCGTCGCTTCGCGCGGCGCTCTGTGGAGCTCTCAGCCTGAGAGAGCAGCGAAGCGGGATGGGCTGGGCAAGAAGATCTTACAAGTGTCAAGATGTCAAGATGTTCCAGGGTCCTGGCCTGAGTAGCCAAGTCTAGGCACGCTGTCGCACCGGCTGCAGGCAACGGCAGCTCCAGACGCACCTCTATCACCCGGAGGTGCAGATCTGTTTTTTCGGAGAGGCTCCTGTCATGCTCTGCTCACACCACACTCTCAGGGCCCCCACCCAACTTTGTGGCTCTCCCTGACCGGGCGTTGTCTCACGTAGCTTCCAGGGACCTGGAACAAGGAACGAGCCGTTTGACGTGTTTGACGTGCATGACGTGCTCTTGGTCAACCATTCGTCAACCCAACTCGCATTGACTCTGAAGCTTGTGCGCAGCTTCGCGGCTTCGCCTGGCCCTTTGTTGGGATGCAGGAGGTAGACTTTGAGCAGCAGGGCATAGAGCCGCAGGTACACCCAAAGTGATCCCAAGCCTCGGCCACATGCCAGCACTCCCGCAGCAAGCGTGTCCCTCATGGCAACGTCTCTCTCTTTCTTCCAGCTGGAATGTGCTTGGCTTGGCCATGGGCGCTTTGTGAGGTCTCCAGGCCTGAAGCGAAGTACTTGTCCCGGTGCATCGCCCAGACCTGACGATTTCACTGTTTGAGCCGACTTTTTTTGTCTGATCCGAGGGCCCCGTGGCCACACCCGCTGCCAGAAATCCCTCCCTGCTTCCCTGTTCCAGCCTGGCTCGCCGTCGCCATTCTGCATTCCTTCGAAATGCATTCGACTTCAAGCTTGGAAGCTGTCAGAGAATTCTACCTGTTTAACTCCGTGGACTCTGTGGTGCCTATGACCACCTCATCACCTCTCGTGACTCTAGGAACTCTGTCACTAGCACTTCTGGAGCGCTGGAAATGGCTCCTTGTGTGTCGGGAAGGCTCTTCAAGAAGCTTTTGAGGTTGGCCACGACCTCACAGCCGATGTGAACACGTGCAGAGCGGCTCCGAGCGCAGTTTCAATTGGCGGGCTGCTGTCAGCATTCTCAGCCCATTGCAGCCACTTCCTTCGGTGGGAGGCGCCTGTAAGTGAGGCGGCAACTTAACAATTGTGCTGACCGCTGAAAGCGTACTGCCTGCAAATGCTCGAAAGATTTTCCAAGGCACCCACTTGGACAGGCAGATCACGCGAACAGTAGAAGGGTCCAGAGCCGTGAGCTCGACGCCGAGCATTCCGCTGCATCTGACCTGGCCACGCACGCAAGGGGTCCCTGATTCATCCCACGTTCTCAACGACTTCACAGTCCACATCGAATCTAGCGGCACGGTTATCGGGCAGCGTTGGGTTGTGCGAGGCTATTGCATCAAGGCTTCACCGCCGAGGATTGTGGTACAGGTAAGGTCGTCATGACATTGCATCACTATCCATCTTGCACGGTCTGTTCTGCATGCATGTCTCACTCTGAGCACATAAGTCAACGCTTGGCTTCCAGATGGTGGGAGTGAGTGACACAACTGCCACTGGGTTCGCACGCTGGAGGTATAGGATGACCGGAGAGCCATGCGTACTGCAAACACCAATGAACAGTTTACCTCCCCTTTCAACTACGGAGTACTTCAAAGGATCTGCACCCCAACATGTGGAGCGGGTAGAGCTCCTGCTCCGTCCAAGAGTCCCAAGAAAGTGAGAAATGGGACAAGTATGTGCACCGACTCTATTGCCTGCACGGTCGTTGCGCCAGTGACCGCGCACGCCCACACCTGCCGCGGTTTTCGGAGTTGTTTCAGGTTCAGTGAGTGCAAGCCAATGTGGGCGTTTCCCCCACCAACTGGGCCATCGGTACCTCATCCGCGGCTTTTGACCCTGGGCCACTCCTCCTCAATCGGCAAAACTGTCGTTTGGCACAGAAGCTGCATGCAAAGTGTCCTTTCGGAGTCTTCCGAGACGGGCATCGCAACCTCGGATCTACTAAGCCATGGCGCAACCTCATGTCCTGTAAAGCCGGGTAAGGCTAACTAAGGCCAAGAGTTTCTGAAAGCCTCCAAGTGCAGCTCTCACAGCCCCCTCCAAAGGTTTCTTGCTTAGAATCTCTTCCTGAACTCTCCTGAGCTCCCGTGCATCTTCGACGCAACGAGCAAGCTCCAGGGCCTGGAGTTGAGCCGAACGCGTCGTGTCCCTTCATGTACCCTCATGTCCCTTCCAAGAGATGCCAGGCGGCTGCAGCAGCTGCGTGGAGTGTGTCGCCCAGACGCTTGGTGCGGCTCAGCCTGTAAACAGGTGCATGCGAAACTGCAAGGAATCCAACAGGTACAAGGCAATGGGAAAAACGTGGAACATACAATTATCGAGGAATTGTCTGACGTGTTCAGCGGTGCCTCCTCCCCAAGCGGTCAGCGAAGAGGCACGAGGGCCGAGGAGTCTGGCATGAGAAGGCGTGAGTTTGCATGAATTCGCTTGAAACCCCTACTCACACAAAACCCTATGAGGCAGGGCTTTTTTCGTCCCCGGATAGTCACTCACCAGCAACGGAACCCTGTATGCACTCACCAATGATGGGAAGATGTAAACGCTGCTCATAAGATGGCACCACGAGAACCCCACATACCCCCAGGGGCAAGAAACGCTTTTTGTCTTCCACAAAGGAAGTCTCCTTTTGGAGCGGCTCAAAGAGTGGAGTCGGAGCAGCTCTCAGGGCTTTGCATTCAGCTTTGCGTTCGACATCAGAAGTGGTGTGGGTAAAGACCTCAGGGCATTCTCAGCAAAAACAGACTCATAAATCCAAAACAGGAAAATTAAAACGGTAGGTTTTTTCTGTGACACAGCTTGCACAGCACCCGAGGCTCTGACCTCAGGCGACAACCTGGCCCATGTACAAGGAGCCTGTGCCCGTCATCGGGTCCTGTCGAGACCCGGCCTAACCGCCTAGCATAAGCCTGAAGGTGGCCTCGGCGGAGGGCCAAACAACTCCCAGTTCTGCACCGAAATGCCCAGATGCCTGCTTCATTGCGGAGCCTTCCACAGTCATGTTGCCTGAGCACTCTGGACGTCAACTTCAACACAGCGAATAAAAAACAGAAAGAACCCGGAAGGTACTCTTCGAAAATGGCCGAGGCCCTGTAATCTCCAGTGCGGCGCTACGGTCCCCGCCCTGTAAATCACAGGCCTTCCAGTAAAAAAGCATTGGTGCGTGCGACCAGGCCAGCAGCACGCAACAAAGTTGTGAGAAGCTCATGACAGCTGCAACGAGCACGGGCGAGGATTTAAACGGCGCGCAAGGGACGTAAGCCCAAAGTCCCATGCCAGTCTGACCTGACAAGGGGCTGTTGGAACTATCGTCACTATCGTCGCCCCGATCCAAACTGTCTTCCAGGTTGATTGATTGATTGATTGATTGATTGATTGATTGATTGATTGTCTTCCAGGTGGTCCGTTTGAGTCCAGGCTCATTCGCGGACATGGTGTGCAGATGTGTGCAGGAGTACCGGTGCTCACACGAGGCCCTCGCCATGAAGGCAAGATGAGTGGAGGCAAATGAGATCAGCAAGGGGGCTGAGCAGAAGGCCGCGGTCAGGTGCCCAAAAAGAAAGAGTGCCAATCGAGTGCTATGGCGTCAGGCCGGGTGCAAGGATCGGGCTCAAAGGCCGCAGGAGGAAGAGAGACGGAAGCCTGACCAGCGTACCAAGACAAGAGGGACAGGATAACCGAACTGAAGCCCCCCCAAAGCACGAAAGCTGCAAGACTGGCGTGTGCATGAAGTTGACGTGTTGACGTGAAACATTGCGCAGCGCCAGAACACAGATATCTTGTGATTCCGCAGAGCGCACTCTGAGTACGCGGCACCAGGATGGCTTGCAATCACCCGCCATGCAGTTGCCTGTTGCACCCTTCAAGACCTAGGTTCAATGGCGGCACATTAGGTTCAGAACCCTAGCTGCGCACATGCCAGAGTTTCAGAGTCCTGAACTGGGCGACGCTGAGGGTGACTTATTGAGCAATTGCTCCCTGCAAGCTGAGGAGCAAGGAAGCGGCCGCCCGAGTGCGAAACACAGTCCTCAGTACTCATTGTGGGGAAGGGGGCTTCGTGGATCACCGGCACGTCCGCCCCTGTTCGAGCTCACAGCCCCAAGCCCTAACTTGAAAAGTGGAGCTGTCTGATTCCGAGGTTCCGCAGAGCTCTGACTCCCCAGCGTGATTGTGCCACACGACTCCTCGGCTGTCAACGCAATGTGTACTGGTCGGGTCTCCTGGGCCCTTCTCATCATGCCTACGGGCCCCAATCCCAGTTGCTCTCAGATTCGCATTCCATGACAATACAGTGACAACTGCGTCCCTTCTTTGTGAGCAAACATAGATGCATCAAATCTTTAGTAGGATAAGAGCGCAGACCACACGGGGGCTCTAACCGCGGTCGGGGTTGCTGGGCCTTTCACAGCAAAAGCCGCTACAACAGATTCACTCAGCAATGTCTTTAACCTTGATGGCGCGTCCTCCGACCCTGAGATGTGCGGCAACGAAATGCTGCGAGGAAGGAAGATCGACCAACACACGTTCCTCTGTTCAAGGACCGGGTGGCTGAGGCCTTCGGGCTGCTTCCAGGGCCACTGTCGGTGATGAAGACCTGCACGGTGTCGGGAACTGGAGCGATGGTAGATACATGCGGAATCCGCATTGCAGCCTCAATGGCTGTGGTGCCAGGGTTCACCTGAACAGGCCGCAAGCAGGTTTGGGGCTCTGTCGTCCCGGGGCAGAGCCGGACTCTTGAAGGTGACTCGAATTGTGCTCATGCGATTCTGGAATCCAAACTTCTCTGTGGACTTCAACCGCTTTTTTTTGTGTCTTGACTCAGGAACCGTGCTTTGTGAAAATTTCAAAAAGTCGCACAGACTGCTCGGAAGCGCTCTGTAGCACAGTGAACTTAGAGACATGAGTAATTGTAGGGTATTGTGGTGTAGTGGTAAAAAATGCCTTATTCTGTGACCGTGCTGTATGGACTTCCTCTGGACCTATTGGAGCCACCTGTGAACCCCACTCCTCTCTGTTGCCGTGTCGCGTGTCAGTGCTGGTCTCCCCAGTCCTCCGGACCCCTTCGCGGACCCCTCTCAACCCTGTTTTGACTCTGTGCCCCAGACCGTCTAGTGGACAAACCCTTACACCGCCCACCGACCTCTATGGACGATTTCCGGAACCGTTAGAGGCTGTGTGCACTGGGGTCCATATTCTCAGACTTCTTGAAGGGAGAGCAGATGTGGTGCTTGAGTCCAGCATTCTTTTCTTGGCAGTGTCAAAAGCAGGCGAGTCAACTGCAAAGCTGCAAGCTGCGCCTCGGCTGTTACCTTCCCGAGTGGCTGAGAGGCCCCAAAGTCCTTGGGCACAAGAAGAAACGACGAGTTGCCTTCGTAGCATCTCCACGTACACTGTGTGTTCTCTGTGATGTCAAGAAATCGAAGGCCGTTGGCTTCTGCACGGGCAGATGGGATCCGGGCCCAGTACACCGCATCCTTGTCGTTGATCCTGAAAGAACTTCTGCAATGGAGTCGCGCGGCCCATCCACCCCCTGCAACGCTTTCCACCGCCTTGCGCGGGCACGTCCTCAAGTCCTGAAATTCCTGAAACCCCCGAGTACCGCACCCAGAGAAGCACGTGGTCGTCTTCTGGGATTTCACCTCTGCTTTCGGCTCCTGCGAAAGAAGAAAAGATAAGAAAAGTTTGACCAGGGGTCATGGAGTCATGCAGGGTTTTTCGGCAGAAAAGGGCTTGCAGTGGCTTGCAGGCTTGCTCACGTCGAGAAAGTCACAGCACGGCCTCGATGCGGCGATGCATCTTCGTCTGCAGGGCGTCGTATGTTGAGAGCAGCCATGTCATGCGTCTGTCATGCGTCTGTGGTGGCATAACAGGTCAGCTTCCCCTGGTGACAATTGGCAATTCTCTGCAGCTCTCTGCGGGTTCCCTTTTGCAGGCCGTTTTTGAATGGCCACTTCCACACTAGTTTAGTAGTGAAGTAGTGAGGCTCGGTGAAGGCCCCTGGCCCCAGGTTCGCCCATTGCGGTTGCTGATGTTGATGGCGCCAAGAATCATGTTACGCTTTGCCACCGCTGCGCTTCCCCCATGTCAGTTCGCAGGTGTAATCGTTGCTGCAGTTTGCTCTGCATGTTGCCCGGCATGTCTTTCCTTCTCCTGTGCTGCACTTCTATTGCGGACCCTGGCTAAAATGCCGTGATCGGCTGAACGAAGCATCTTGAGATCCAAAGCCGCCATGGCCCGCCTTGCAAGGACACGCTCCTGGACCCTTGGTGGGGACCGTGATGTTCGGAGCGCCATCCTGCGGCTGCAGGGCGCCAAAAGCGCGAGACAACAGGCGAAAAGCAGCAGAAACTTTGAGGCAGATTGGGGCAGATCTCCTCTACGTTGCGCAGGGAGTTGTCTGGGCACTTGGCATACTGGCAGCTGCCTGAGCCGACCTCAGAAAAAATGAAGTCCTGACACTGCTACCTATCCCCTTACCCTCCCCTGTGCTCCCAGCATTCCAGAAGAAGGAGCCTCAATTGGCTCAAGAAAGTGAGACCAAAGGTGCAAGATGTTCTTCGGGATGGCACCAGATATGTGTGCGGACGAAGACGTCTCAGGGCCCGAGCTGTCGCAGGTCACTTTGGCGCCAAGGGCGTAGGCGTTGCCCATCTTGCTCCAGCCCATGGCGGTGTCTGGGCGCTTGGGCGCTTTGGGCATATGTGGGCTTTGCGGACCTCACATTACCCAAGCTTTCCAAGAACCGAAGTCCGAAGATGTCCGAAGTCCACACTCCTCGCGAGCACCAAGCCGAGCCGCCGATGGGGGTACTCTGCCAAGGTTCCAAGGGCACGCACACCTCCACCTCCTGATGATTTGAGCACTTATGAGAGAGGTTCGATGGAGTTCCTTGCCCCTCATGTGCCTTTGGGATGCAAGGCCTCAAGGGGCCGTTGCGATGGCGAAAAGGATACAATTGATACGATGCTACAAGTTGCACACAACTTACACAATGTTCCAGAAACGCCCATCGTGCTCGCTTGGACCAGGAGTAAAAATTTGACAGCTCATTCGCACGTGCGCAATGTTGTTAGCTGTTGGCAGCTCCTTGAACTTCTTCGAGGTATCCGAGAGGCCACAAGCATCCTCACAGCTCACAGCCGGGCAAGCGCTGAGGCCTGGCACCAAGCTGTGGCAAAGTGCCATCACATTTCCAACATATCGAGCAAACTACGGTGGATGTTTGTCGTTTGTACACAGCTCTTGCATTCAGCCGAGCGATTCTCCCTCCGTCGCGCTTTATCAGTGATCTCAGAGTTCCCACCCAGGCGTCTCGGGAGCATACTCATCGTTCAGATGATTCAAATATGATATTCAGATGACTGGTGTGGCCACACGTGCCTCCATGACATGGCA